TAACAGATACTAACAGTATCCGTCAGGTCAATGAGAAATCTTTTTTTGCCCCTTCATGTTCTACAAGTAGTGCCAACCCTTATTTCAGGCACAGAATCCCAACACCTCTATGGAGTGCAGTATCAGGAACCTCTGCAGATACATGCCCTGATGCTAGGTAAGTACTGTAAGACAAAATGAGCAGATCTGCAGAGGAAGATTCAGACCCTCTAAACTAGGAAATGTACATTTTGGTGACCATGTAGTGAATCAAGATGTAAAACAGCGAGCTTCCCCTGTGCCTTTGAGACATGTGTGATGCCTCTATCAGCTGAGACCTTCTCAGATACCGCTGACAAACTCCCAAGAGGAACACAGCGTTTCAGAGTTGATCTTTGCAACCCTGCTATAACGAGAATAACAACATATATTACAGGTTTAAGAACAGGCTGACAACATGAAAACGAGAGCTCCAGCAGTTTCGGGTTCTTAGCACATACACCTGATCCCTGGTGTCACAGAGCCTTGATTATATATTAAATGAGCAAAGTTCCACACTGCTTAAGCTACATCCTGGAGAAATTAGCATTTCCACACATCCCAATCAGGCAACTCATGCTGGGCACCAAATGACAGAACTGCACAAGTGACCTGCAAAATAGCTGCTGTGGCCAGCTGCCTCAAACCAGGAGAGCATCGCGCTCCACCGTGCCTTCGCCACGTAAGGCCATCCTTTCTCTCCAGCTACACGAAGCCAGGGTCCTGCAGAGAAATTTAGCTGCACTACACTGATTCAGAGAACAAATCCATGCAGGGCATGAGGCAAGGATAGAGTGAAGACAAGATGATATGTAAGTAACGAGTATCACATTGCAGATGCATGACAGGGCTGAAGCTGCAGCTCCAAAATCACAGCAGCGGAGTTGAGGGTTTGATTTTACACCAACAGTCTGGATTTGTAATGAACCTGCTAATTTAAAAACGATTTTTAAAACAGGTCTTCTAACATCTGGGCTTGTATCAATGCTGAAACAGGCACCAGCAGCTGCACTAAACCCCTTACGTCTGCAGTCCAGGTCTCCACCAAAAGTAATTGATGGCAATGGTGGGCTGTTGTGACACACGCAGCTACACTCACCCGATGGCTCTGACATATTTTCTCTGCAGTACAGTAACAGAGACTTGGGGCTCTGAGGCTCAGTTCCAGATCTTGAAGAAGAGCAGCCAGTGGGCACAGTGTGTGCACCTGTAATCCATCCCAGGCTTTCTCTCCTCTCCAAATGCCCCTGCTCCTCATGCTTTATCCCACTTTCTCCACCACCTGCTCTTCCTATAGCTATCCCAGCTGCCTACACTCCAAGTCCTGCTTCACCTTCTTATCTCCCCTACTCAGAGCTTCTCCTGAGCTCTCGCTTTGTGTTTTCCCTCCAGCTCCCTCTTACCTTGTTTTTAGCCCTCTGAACCTGACTATGTTGCTTCTTCCCATCTCCTTTCATGTTCCAGGTTCACCTAAGCGAGCAGACCAGGCTGCTTGCTGCCTTGAGTGGCTGGGCTCTTCAGCACAAAGGCCCAATTATGAAAAACTTCTCTGCTTTTGTAGCAGAAATTCCTAGCAGATGCTATGCAATTATATTAGATGCCATATGCTTTTATAAATTACATTCAAGTGTATTTTGCAGCTAGCCGGTATTTTCAGACTGCTCTGAAATGGAAAAGATAATTATGCACCTAAATGTAAGTGGTTGGGTCAAGGCTGATCCATCTCGCACACACTGAGCTAAGCCTCCCTCACGTCCTATAAAGGCTACCAGATAGTCAGCCCAAGTGCGGCAGTCCTGCAGTCCAACAACAAACCTTTCCACATGCTGGTTTCATTACCACGTAAAGTTCTGTACAACAAGCCAGTGTGATGAAGGGTTAATTTCAGTACACACTAATTGCATTTGAGGGCATCTACGTGCATTATTTGTACGCTTTATTTTTGGCATCTCAAAATGAATCTGTCACGCTAATGATATTCTGAGAAGGACTTAACATTTCAAGTGCTGTGGGAAGTGCAGCACTGCTAACACCTGCAGCAGGTGGTAATGCTCCCGACAAGTCAGTGCTGAACCACCGAGCACCAGAGTGCAGCCTTTTGGATAACACAAGCAGAGTCCAGCTCTTCTTAGCAGTCATTCAGGGGCCTGCAGCTCGCTTCGCAGTGGGAGTTCTGGACTTTGCTTCACAGCCATGTTCCAGCTCTGGCAGTTACATCTGAACCAAGCATCCTCTGTTGCTTCTGTTGGACGGGCACATAAATGCCTCGCTATTAAATGACAGGAGTTCTCGGGTGAATGTGATACACATTGACACTTCTGATGACAATGCACAGCAACATGAACGTGCACAAAGTATCAATTGCCGTCCTGCCCATAAGCCTACTGGCAAGATCAAACTAGATAAGGCATGTGTGTCAACGGGAACCGCACGGAAAGACAACCCTGACGCGGCTGCATCTGCTAAACACAACTTTCTGCTTAAGAGCAAAGCTGCCTGTAGAAGAAAGCAGGAGAGAGGTAGAGGAGCCTGTCTGCTCATCCCACAATCGACAGGAAAGAAGGGGGCTTAAGCCGGGAGACAAAAAGCAATGCTATGTTTTAAGGCAACCAGCATCCACCTGAAAAGCCTGAATTTAGATGGAAGATTTATGTCTTTCAGCAGCATGAAGGCCTGTGGGATGCAATTTTCTTCTTTTGGGGAGGCAGAAAGAACATTAAAAATCCCATAAACACACTCTAGGTAGTGCCAGGTTTCACGAAGTTTCAGATTGGTACATCAGTCACAACAGCAATCTCCTTTTCCCCCTGCCATTTCTTCCCCCTCCCCCTTCTACAGCAGGCCACCAGTACTGCACTTGGAGACTGGAAGACAAATGGGCAGCTGCCTCTAGAGGCAATTGTGAGGAGACTAAAGATCAACTTGCAGCTGGCACTTCCACCCCCACCTCTCCTTAATACTTCAGTCCACTTGCTGCCAGACAAGGATCATGAGTCAGCTCCCAAACATATTCTCCTTGAAACAATAGCTATAGCTCTCTGCCGCAGCTATACCACTGCTCCGGCTCCGAGGAACACGCCACAGCTCTGAAAACAAAAGGGCTGGTTTTAACCTAAAGCAGCCCAACACCAGAATGGAGCGACATAATAAGCATGCACTATAGAATACTATGCTTAACTTGTGAGATTAGCAAAGCTGATTTTGATACGTAACAGGCATGAAGTCAGTACTGTAGTGAAAAGCTGCAGAAGCAGCAAACAGAAGTGTTTTGGGGTGACATGGTAAAGCAGATGGCTTTTGCATAAACCTTTTCAGCTACAACAAGGTGCAGTTTGATACCGCAGCATTGTACACTGCGATACTAATTAGACGGCAAAGGAGCCAATTTAGCCTTTACAAATTAACTTTATCACTACTGTAGGAGCTGCTCTTTCAATTCTGAGTAGCCACCACTCGCTGAAACTCCTGCATTCACAAAGGTGAAAACTCCAGTGTTCATCTCTCAAAGGCATTTCAGAAAGGAGAAAGCCTCTTTTTGCATGGACATTTCAGCTTACCCAGCTAATGGCATCACACTGAACTTTAACTCTTCTGACCCAAGTGCAGTCAGATGATAAAGACCTTAACGAAGAGGTAAGAAAACGCAGAGATGTCTCAGAACTAGATTTGAAGTGATGAACTGGTGGTGACTACTGAGCACTTAGAGAGCTGTGCGCATGGTAAAGGTTAGGCATGGGAGAGTCTATGCCCATGCAAAACACCCTCAAGAAGTATCAGCCCCCAGAGCAAGCCCTACCTGCAGACAATCCACTCACAGGCCCTGAAGAGACTGCTGCTGACAGCTCAGTGCAAGCTAACATGTTGGGAAACTTAAATGAATGCTACATCTACATTTTTATTTCTAGCTAAGAAACAGGTGAATGCAGTTGTCCTTTCTCACCTCACCACAATTTGTGTTTCTTACAGATGAGCATTGCCAAGCACTTTGGAGAAGTCTCTAACCCAAAATACCGACATGTCTTGAGCCACACTGTCCTGTAAGCCAGAAGGCAAACTGGAGACAGAAATAAAAGACTATATCACAAAGCACTAGACAGAGCTGTTAAAAACCCCCTGCTTCTCCTTCTGCCGGACAGACAGGCATGTTTTGTGGTACTGCAATAGGTTGTACTGTCAATGCAGGGCATCAATTTTGCCATCAACAGAAACGTAACATCTACATTCTGTATAAAAAGATAGCAGACTGTAAACATATGTATCTTTTAAATTATTTTATTTTGTGTAAGCTAAAAGGAAATTTACACACTTAAATCTCAAAAGACCTTGGGCATGCACATTGACCTTTTTAGAGGTTCTTCTACATAGCTCTCTTTTTTCCATAGGAATTTCCCCAGACATTTACAACCCATAGTTTTTTACTGTATATACAGCCTAAAACCATAGCAATCTATGATTATGTCATTTTACACTGTGCAAAATCAAACAGGAATAGTGGTACAACAGAACATAAAAAAAATTTTAACAGGTAAATTTCATTGTAAGACATTCATATAGTTTTGGTCCTTCTTTTCCAAATCAAACTGATTAAAAGCAGACAACCTTCGAATGACCCAAAAAAATCAAGTGTTTAGATGGTGATCCAGAACTGGAACAAGAAGTTACTGACAGCATACCTTTCAACAGGCTAGATAGTGACAGAGCCATACTATCGAGGTTTAAGAACACAAAGATTGATCAGCAAATCAAACAGGGGGAGGGGATGGGGAAGAAGAAAAGGAAAAATCACATCTTAAGCTTGTTAAAACACAAAAGAAATTACTGGGTTTTAAAGAAACAACAATAACTGAAAACCTGCAAAGGGACAAAGTAACCTTTTGGGTTCCTTTTCCCCAGCAATAGTTATTTTAATATATGCAGGAAAGAAAAAGATGCTCAATGCAATCTGCAAACCTTTAAGGGCGACTTCACAGACTGTGAAGATCGAAGTTTTCATTTTGTTTTTAGGATTTATTTATTTTTTTTTTTTAACTTTTTCATGTTTTGTAAGAAGGACACCACCAGTGTATTTCACAAAGACAGAACTGTATACAGCCCAGCACAACAAAAAGAATAGATCTTCAAAAAGATTTACCCCCAGTTATTTACATTTTTCTCTAATATAAATTTAGGACTCCGGTATGTAAATAAATATACATTACTATGTATACCTTTCTAGTGCTGCTTACCAACAAATCATCTGAACTTGATTTTTTTTTAATTAAAGCAAGATTGCTTTTTACGACCCACAGAGGGAAGGAAAAGAGAAAAAAAAAATCAATAGAAAACGTCCAATTCACATCACTTTAGTCTACCTTTTCTTGGCAGCTTGTTGAAGGTGTTAATGTGGCTGGGAACATCAACACCTTGGCATGCATGAAAGTTAAGTCAGGAAGGCTAGAAATCACCTTGGCAGCCTCTTCACTAAGATGTTCTTCCTTTTTAGGCTTCCTGTGGAGAAGAAAAGAACAAGTGCATTAATACAGTACCTGATACCCTTTGCATCACTAAAAGAATCACTGATTGAAGCAATGTTCTGTCAGTTTGTCTCCCACTGACAGGCACTTCTGTAAGCTACGTGAGAAGTCTAATGTTATAATACCTACCTGCCTACCAACAAAATGTTAACACAGAAAGTCAGCAAAATGTTCCTGTATATTGTTGCAATAAGGAGGGGAGGGGGGAAAAAAAATCCTATTCAAATGCTAATTTTAATATATTTCTCCTTTTTTTGCCAGGTTCCAGCATGAAGAGACTCACTTGAAGAGACAACCATGCCCATATTCTAGGGATAAGACAACAGAAACATTAGTTCTAAAGTACCTAAATCCAATATAACCTTTCAAAATGAAAGTGGAAAAATCTTGAAAGGACATGAAGAAGTTCCTAACTTACTTAATACTTTTAAAATAAAAAAGTACTTATGCTGTGTTTCCAACATGACTGTTCTCAGATTATACATCATACTGCTCTATATTGTGATCCATGAACCCTTTTCCCCTGCCAGGGCTCAGCAGCAGCAGAAGGTGGCTCACAACTTGGGAGCTACTTGCTTTGAAGTGCAGTAGTATGTGTAGCCATGATACATACAGCAGTTTGGGAGTCACTGGCGTTTACTTTGCCTTTTGCATTATTCATAAGAATTACTGAGCAAAAATGAATACAGAGATCTGAATTCTATGTAATTTGGTTCTCACTATTCATGCAAACCCGTCTCTTTTCTTAAGTAAAATGAAGCCTGGCTCAGACCACTCCAGAAGACCCCCTTCCCCTGCCCAAACATCTGTATTTCACAGACATCTGGTCTATCTTTGAAGAACACTGCCTATTACTAGAAATACTCAGTTTTACATCGAACATTATTCCCGTTCCAAAAAGGCACCTGCTACACCCTGTAACAACATTAGAAATTCTAGCTAAATAAGCTCCCCCACCTTTGGGCCAAAAAGCTGAGACAAAAGGCTTGAAACCAAACAAGCTGCCTTTCCCTAGAACACTTCAGAAACTTCCTTTCTATACCTTGTCTTAGCTACAAACTTTAAATGGAGCCCTTGAGAGGGCAATGACCAGCAGCATGTACTTCTATTTTCTTTTGTCAGCACCCATCAGGATTGTTTCCTCAGCTGATCAGAGATGAGGGGAAAGCAAAGGGAAGCAGTGTCAGAATTTCTTAGCTAGGAGGAGAAGAAAAGAAACAAGCTGGAGTCAAACTCATCCTTGACATCACTGATCATTGTGTTGACACTGAACTATCACTTTGTTTGCTACTTGAAATCTCCACTTGATGAAAGATCTCTAGATGAGGCAGCCTAGATACCAAATCCGACTTTCCTTCACTAGAATAGCAATATTTTCTTTTCTCTGCTGCAGTGGAATTTCATGAGCCACTGACTAGGCAGATTACCAAATTCTGGAGGATAAACAAAGCTGTGTGCTGGATTTACTGAAGGAAGAAGCAGAGAGCCAATATGTGCCTCCTTCTCTAACAACTTCACAGTCAGCTCTGTTTGCACTTGAAGGACTATCTCTGAGCTGTTGAAATGTGGTTCTCACCCACCACTGTGTTATCAGTATCTGGAGCTGCTATTAGTAATCACTTACCACAAGCCTCTTAACGGTACAAACTCCTGGTGATCAAGGACTTACAGCTAACTACAGAGTGTTTGACAGAGGGAGCCAAAGGAAGAGGGCCGACTCCAAGATCTGCATTAAAAGGAGTTCCTGTAATTGTTAATCAGGCACCGAGATGGAGCTCACACTCTCCTTGCTATTTATATGCCTCTTCCTCCTCTGCTCAACTGTGGCATTCTAAGAAACGGCTCTGCTGCATCCCAGAGGCAGCACTGCATTTCACTTGGTGGTCATATGCCAGACCTTTATCACAGGATAATGCTATTGCTCCAGCTGTACTAGCTGGTCTCTGCAACATCACAGCAGAACATGTGCACCAGTGAGCACAGTCAGATGGGAATCTCACCCAATTACTGAATGCTCCCCTCCCAGCTGGAGGCCCTTGGCAATAATTTATCTACTTAATGTGAAACTACCTGTAAAGAAGGACAAGCTAAAACACTAATACAGTAAACATCACTTAGCTATGACCAAGTTACAGCTATAGATACAAGCACTTGGTAATGAGGCTCAAAGCCTTTTTTAAAATCATCTCAAGTGCAGATTGGGATGAGACAACCTAAAGTCTGCATTCCTTGATGGAGAGGGGCAGGTTCCTCTGGAAGACAATAAACTGGACACTTGTAAGTACCCTTTCTGGGTAACAGTCAGCACCTTTGGTAGCAGATACCACTGGGGCAACCTTAAAGGATTACTCATTAACTCTCTAAATTTAAAAGACAAAGTAGCATCATCACTGCAGACTGTTTTTACCCTTAAAACCTACCAAACTGCCTAGTAACTGTGGTGTCTTTTGAGAGAGGCAAGAGAAATAATCGTGTCAGTGCATTAATTTCAGTCACCACTTTTGCTGAAGGCGTTTCCATTGCCAAGAGCTTCTTTTGCTAAACCCTGGTCGGTTGGGGTGGGGGGGAACATCTTAGAGCCTCTCCTGCTCATGTTCTGTTCTGTACTTTTAATTTCTACGTATCATAGCTTTCAGAATGGATGCCAAGTGAGCGGATTGTCAGCAGTGGCTGTACTACTACTGTCTGCTTTGGAACCAGAACTTTTGATTACTAAACCATGAAAGGACCCAGCCCTCACTCACAACAAGGTCTCTGCCTCATGCAGGATTTAGAACTACTCTCTACATAGCACTTTGCCCCCATCCATCTCTTTTCTTACACTAGGTTACATTTCCTCCTGAGACAGAGGACAGCAGGGATATCCTTACCCAAGCAATTGTACCAGTCCCTCTACCTGTTGGCATAAAGTTTCCTTTTCAAAGGCATGTTAACACTAAGCTGCAAGAAATTAGCCAGACTGACGGGCAGGAAAGTTGCTGGAAGAAACTTTTGCAAGAACTAGGGAATACTTTGTCGATGTGTCACTCACACCTCACTGTTCTGTTTTGCATTCCAACCCCTTCCTGTAGCATTCAAGTCTTTCAGGATTTCAGTCATCTCTCATGTTTGCAAAGGGTTTTGTGGATAGCACCAGCAAGGCCAGGCTCTAACAGCAACAATGATTAGAGAAATGCACTCTAAAAAAATCACTCTGTAATTAAGAGGTAGCCTGCTCCATCCAACACCTCCCCCAAGGAGTATTTCCAGCCTAAATGAGGGTTTCGTCTGTTTCTTGGAAAGATATCAGTGCTCTGTTTTCCTTCACAAAGACAGCAGATAAACTTCTGATCTCTGCCAATTCTATGGAACCGGGCAAGGCTGGAGAATGTCTGTGGAATGCTGTACTGGATCCCTGACCTTCAACACTTACTGCAGCCGTCAGGGTTTCAGGCTCAAGCTGAGGGAGAAGTCTCCCCTGCACTCCAAACACTTTCCTTCTGGGAAACTGGCTTTCTTGCTTCAAGAGATGGGTTTGAATGCAAAAGATGAGGCTCTTTTAAGCAAAGACAACTTTTCACATGGCTTTTTAGAGCTGAACAATGGCGTTTTCACTCTAAACTTTACCCTATAGATCCTGAGTTCAGACAAATTACAGACATGGGATAGCCTTAGCACAACCGAAGCTGCCATCAAAGTGATGTTAAGCCACTGGCTACATCTTCCCCGTATCAGTATCTGGTTATCATGAATGGCTAATAGTCCATATGAATGGTTGGTGTATGAATGTCATCCTTGTTGAGCTGGCTGTACCCAGCCACTCCTATTTTAAAGTCTTCAGTTCATTATGAAGGAAAAAAAAAAAAAGAAAAACAATTTTATTGCAGAAAGCTAACATACTGCAACATATTTGGCATACTGCTGAGATAAGACCTTATTTCTCTGAAGGTTTCTAGCTTGAAAAACAGACTGCTTTTCTTTTGGAGAGCATGGAATTAAAGAAAGAAAAAAACACTTGAAATGTTTAAAATTCAGAGTTGGCAAAAACATACAAAATGTATTAAACACTGAAAACAGATGCTTTAAAACTGCTAATCCTTGCGTGTATCTGAACTTAACTGCCAAGTCTGAGGTCCCCACCCTCCCTCTACAGCCTGATACTGCTAGAGCACAGATCTAGAAGCTCTTCCTATCAGTAAGTAATGCTCTCCACAACAGGCGAAGAGTTCTGACATCTGAATAAAGAGTTTTAACAGCACAAGTGAGAGCTTTCCAGTACATTCTGGAAGCACTGGAAAAAACCTAAACCCCTCATCTCAAAAAACAGTACAGAAAAATGAAGGTGAACATTCAAGCAAAGCAAACCTCCCTGTTAATTTCTAAAGAAAAAGTAAGCTACGACTTCTTAAAGAAAGCACGTAGGTACAAATCTGAGCGGAGATAAAAATTAACAAAGTTTGTATGTTCTGCTGTGAATTTCAAACTAGACAGAATATATAACAAAACTATTTTAAAGGTAACTGTGTTTTTCTAATTAGTGGAAGTCAAACTTTCCCACTAGTGCATTTTCAGAAACACTCCATGGGTAGAAAAATAGGCATTCCGAAAGCCGAGACACAAAATTCAGCACTGAAGTATGGAGTTCCCTCTACTGGTTCTCCCTTGAAATTTCATGGCTTGTTTTTATTCCGTGTTCCCTTTGACCATTTTCCCTGCAGGAAAGCTAGCAAGAAAGTTTTCTTAATGAAAGAACATGTTTTAAAGAGCTCTTGAAAACGATAGTTCTGGTAATTTTAAGAAAGCCAGTTACCTCCCACCATTACAAATCTCTTCAACCACACCTCCTCTCTAAGTGCTATGCTACATGGAAATGCATCTAGTTTGAAAGTGCTGAGTAAACCCTACTGCTCACTTACAAGTGAGGTTATGTTAAACTATCTATTAATTGTAAAGCAACTAATATTAGTTGCATGTTGAAGCATGCAATTCCTCAACAACAGAAATGTTTTACTTGGTGAGAATCACTCAGTGATTCTTTTAATGGGCACAGACATTAATTACACCTTAAGACAGTCCAGGATCATACTGCTAAAATACAGATTGAAAAATAAACCTGGAGAATACAAGCTTATAAATGGAAAGACTGTTCTGTACCCATTCAACAGGCCGGACTTCAAGTAAGACATTTGACACCTAAAGCTTTTATGTAAATTCTACCTATAAAAAGAAGTACAGAAGAATGTCACACAAGATCCATGAAGCAGAAAGGACAACTTAAACCAATTGCACACTCGTTCCTTGACTTGCAACAGCAAAATTAATCTGATGTTTGCTCACTGAAATTTTGAGAGGTGCTAGAAATACGTGGGACAAATACCGTCATTATTATTAGTCAGTTTTATCATTTTACCTGTGGATCATTCCATACCTATAAAATACACAGAAGACTGAGGAGAGTCTTCTGCCAAAGTCCTAGGTCACCAAACTGCGTGGCCCAGTTTACCCGTCCATTCTTAGGAATCAGCTCACTTCTCAGGATGTTGCTTCCTCCAGTTCAGTCCTCGTCTCTAGCTTTTCAACTTTTGTCATGAACTGCTTCCCATCTTATTTTAGAGGTCTATGACAATTTGAAATATGAACTACAGTACTATGAATTTCATATTTAAATTTAATAATTACATTTTAGCCTTTCAATCATTCAAGAACTTCTGACCTGAAACAGCACACGCATTTACTCCTCACATTTCACACCACTTTTGGAAAAAGAAAAAAGCACAACAAAGAGTATTTACCTTGTGGACGTGCTTGCCTTCTCCACTGTAGACATGAGTCTTGCAAACGCATCAGTCACTCTGTTGCTTGCATTGGAAGTTTCCAGTTTTGAGGTTGTCAATTCATACAACTCAGGATCCACACCTTATAGTATAAAATGATAATCAGTGATGGTTGGAGGCAAGTATAGCAATAATTAGCCACAGACCAACTTGCTAGAGACTGTTTTCTGTAAACATCTGAGTCATTTATGATTTCAAAATACATGAAAAGGACATGACAGGACATGTCTGCATTTCTGAAACATCCTCCTCTGTCCCCACCCTTTTCAGTAGCTTTACAGTTGTACTAGAAAACACACGCACAGTGGATCAAGCCTGGCATACAATGTCTCAGTCTAAGAGTAGACAAAACAAATTTGATTTACCTTTTAGAATGAAACACCTGTAAAAACGTCAGCTGTGGTAAAATGGATTGTTTCAAGTACTTCAACTCAACTGTATTAGAAGAATACTTCATGTTACCAGGAACCATCTGTTTACTGAGGGATTACATGCAGCACTGGCATGCATGAGAGTGCATTTAGTATCCTGCTTTTTGCAAGAGTTAAAAATGTTTTGCGTTAAAAATGTTTTAAGTGAGGAAAAGCAGATCTTATGATACCAAGAAGTGGAATGGCATTAAAAAAGTTACATATTAATAAGTGTAATGCTACCACAACTTTTTAGTCTGTGATCCCTTTTAATTGTTCAAGTATTCATAAAGCATTAAGTATCTGGATGTTTCAGCCTTGATTTCCTAGTTTCAGATACCTTAACTCGGATGCTGAATTTTCACATCACATGCGTTGCGAATGGATTTCAAATTTTACCAGCAGAGGCCATTCTGAAAACAATGCAAACAATGGAAAACTGCATCCAAAAAAATACATACATGTATGAGTGAAATGCTACCCGTTTAATAGTGAGCATCACATCATAGTAGGAAATAGCTCTAGTATTTCCAGATACTAAGTATGTTTTCTTTAATAAAGTCTCTATGATTTAGAACTATCAAAACAGATCAAGAGGAAAGACTGTTACAACACATTTTGTTGCTCAGATGCTCTTTAAATTAGTGATATTCCTCTAGTTTCAGGTTTTTCATGCTTCATGGGTTTAAATGAAGTATGCATATATGCATCCACAATTACAAGTATTTTTCAAAAACAGTGTAGAATTTTTATACAGAAGCATCATGATAGACACCTGTGTTCTAAACAAGTGTCACACTAGTGCCAGCTGGTTTGGCCAACACACAAGCATTTCACACTGCAGAACAAACGCTGCAAATACTTGGACACGATGGTCCCGTGTAGCTACCACCCCATATAGAAACTGATTTATAAACTGATGTGCTGCTGATTTTATCCAGTCTGAGTGGATCAAAACACTTTTAGAAGTACTCCTGAAATACCAAAAGATTGCTAAGTAAAAAAAAAATGAAAATGCCTGTGCTTATAGTCCTGCCTTTTCCACCCAGTAATTGCAGCGCTACGTGCACAAACAGATGCCTGCTTTGCATAAACTCTCCCCACGCAGTGTGTAGATCATTCGTCCTTTGTGCACAAATACTCTTTCACTGTTAGGAAACTAAGCTGACCTAAAAGTACAATGAAGAAAATCATCTGGTTAAGCTGCAGGAGGTGGGGGATGGGAGAACATTTGATCCACTTAATATGAATTGATTAGAAATTAATAGCTGTGTTTTCAGTGTACATTTTTTTAAGTCCGTGTTTCCAAAGTTAAGTTTCATGCAAAATACATACTGTCCCGAGACCAGTATACCAAGACTTTAAGTATTGTCAGATGTTTACAGAACTTGAAAAGAGGAAAAAGCCCAACTATTCCATAAAATATCCACTTTCAATCAGGGAGAGAAAGACTTGAAGAAATACACTTTGACTTGCAGAAGCCTGCGAAATCCCATTAAGGTACAAATTGTAAAACTAATTGAAACGAGGAGTCCTTTGACATGCAACTCTGCAACAAAAGTTAAATGCAACCTTAAAAGTTACATCATTCAGATATTCACATTTATGGTCCTGCACTCATTTTCATTGTCATGCGATGTCGCTGCTCAATTTACTGTTCTTTAGGCACCTCTCTTACTCAGCTACATTTGTGTTAAACTATTAACATGAGAAATAAGATGATACGCTAAATCTGTGGGGACATACTAGAAATTAACAACTCCCTTTTCAGAATGTAGAATGCAATTTTTTAAAATAAAAAAGTTATTTTGGCTTGAAATCAGACTCAGAAGAATACAGGGTAGATCTATAGTAAGCAAAACTAAAGGTCTCCAGAGAAAGAACAGACTTCTGCTGCTGATAAAGTTTCTTCTTTAAGCCAAAAGATCTAACAATTTGCCTTTCAATTACTTTACTTATTTTTTAAGAGTTGCATATTCTCCATTTTATTCAAATGATTAGAGAATATTTAAGGAAAGCACTGCAAAACCTTAATGAGATATTGAAGGAAAGTTAGCCAACCAAACCCCACACAAAGCTCTTAAACACACACACAAACACACGAGCTGCAAGCCAAGAAACAAATGACTTTCCCAGAAACAAGTCAGGAAGAAAGAAAAGCCAGAACAAATAAAAGTCACCAAAAAAGGCACTACAGGGCATACCAGGGAAGGTGACTGTACCTGTAACTCAATGAAACAAACACCAATAACAAAAAAAGGGGCAATAAAAGGCTAACAGCATCTCTCCTGTAATCACTTCAAGTGTGCACACCATCAGGACACAAGAACGTATCCAACTGCACAAGCAGCACACGTGCTGGGTACTGACGACTTCTGTTGTTAGACTTGCACACACCAAAGAATCTGTAAGACTTAAGTTTCTTGAAGTTGCTACCTAACATTTCCATGACAAACCTGCCATCTTTCATCTGGATAATGACATTTCTCAAGGTTGGAATACAGACATTTGGAATGCATTGCAACAAAACTGCCTTCAATGATCAAATTTCAAAACTAAAAAAAACCAAACCAGAACAAAAACAAACAACAAGCTGTTTTTTGAAAACAAAAAATACAGTAATATAAGCACTTATTTGAAATGGGGGTAAACCCCCAAACCTCTTAAAAAGTGATTTTAAAAATTAAAACAAAATAAAAAAAACCCCACCTTCCTATGAAGAAAATTATCATCATGGTTTTAGATGTGATACTGGAATAGTATTTGCCTTATCTCCTTAACCTATGCACTAGGCTAAATCCCCAAAATGTTCCCTTAAATTCCTGCAGAAATTCATTCGAAGTGTAGGTTTCCACAAGCTCGTGCAAAATAGTCAGAGCATGTCAAAACCATGTGATAAATTAATTCAATTACTTTCATATATTATTTAATGGAGAGTGGAGTTTTCATCTCCTTTTTAAGGGAGTAAGTTGGAGATAAAGTGCTTTGGCATTATAATTACTGTTCATGAACATCTAATGTCCCACAAACATGCAACTATCCTTGTTACCTATTGATGAATGATGTTAAAACACTTTTTTCACTTTATCATTAATATTAGTAGTTCACACACACACACAAATTTACAACCTTCTGGTAGCAGCAAACCCCATCAGGGTTTTGATATGTTAAGCTTTGTGACTTTAAATTCACTCATAACTTCTAAATAACATCATAATCCTGTAACTTGGAGACAACTCATTCAGAAGAGACACCAAGCCTCATTTTTGGAGAATCATCCTATCCACAGCATTTTTCAATTTTTAAGTGCTTAGAAAAGTTAACTCACAAAATCTCTCATTTGAAACAAGTGTTTTAACATCTTATTTGCAAGAGCATAAAAGCCATTCATTCCTTCAGCATGTGACAAATACAGAGCTGACAGTACCTTTTAAATACTTGGCACTCGATACAAAACATCAGAAAACAGAACACAGATTAAAGGAAAAATGCAGTAGAAAGACATTTTAGAGAAACACAATGCAAAATTTCTCCTTGTTTATAGGAAAGTCAAGTGATGTGCTCATGCTTTTAGTAAGTCGTTACAGTATTACAGTTGTGGTTTTAACACTCTGCTGACCTGGGATTGTGGTGGTGCTGCTAGAGCTACTGTCATCCACGGGCCCAAAGAAATCAAGGTTCAGAAGAGTGGAACCTCCACTAGCTTGAAATTCAGTGACCGTGTTGGTAGGCAGCCATATAGAAGGTAAGCCAAGGGAGGGGTTTATGTGTAAAAAGGGGTAAGACACACACTTGAACATGCAAGTTATAATTAGTACTCAGTACGCAATTTAAAAATTGACATGAAAACAATGCTTACAGTATTAGTTTGTACCTTCTAAAATGTTAACAACTTAATTCAGTGCACATTTCCTTATGTACAATGCAGCAAGGAAATCAACACTAGTAACTTGAAAATAGAAATATTTATTTCAATCTAAAAATGAAAGAGAACCAGCACGACCCAGAAAGAAAGATGTGATCAGTTAAAGGGAAACAATATACAGGTCAACTTAGAGTTAGAATATAGTGGGCTTTTGCTCCCCTCACTGAAATTGAAACCCAGGAAAGTCAGGAAGACTTAGCAGATCCCCAAATAGCAAAGAACCAAAAGAACCCTGTAAAGTTTTATTTAGCAGCTTTAAGCTATTAATTATCATTATCTTAAAGCAGGGTAACAAATGCCACTCTTGTATCCAGTTCCTCACTGGTAAGTTATACTGTTCCCCTTTAGTACTAAACCAGAAATCAAACCAAGATACATTTTAAAGAAGTTGTTCATTAAAAAGAAAGCATGATGATTGACTGAAGTAATAAGACACCAGACAACAGCAAAAGGGTCCATCCAGGCTTTCCTTCAGCACCATGATATTGCTATCCATACTCTTACATCCCACATGTTCTGAAACAACACCATGAGGCAACACCAGTGGAGTAAGAGATGCAGTTTATTTTAGCCTGCTTTTGAACAACTTATGTGTCACAAATTAATTGCTGTTAGCAGGCTCCTCATAAAAGTATGTTTCTTTACAGGTTTCTAGTCTGTCCGTCAAACAAGTTTCCAAAGCTTGTTTTATTTCCTTTGCATGCTCTTGCATTTCTGAGACTGGAGGTGGTGGCACAACTCACTTTGCTATTAAAATAGACACACGTGAAGGGTCCTATATGTGGTAACTATATACATTTACAGATACAAATAAGTTCATAGCTACCTCTTTAATATATTACCTATAATTAGCTCTTGCATGTAAGCAAAAGTGATAACAGATGAAGTCACATTTTTTGAAATATAAAATTATCTGTAAATCTGAAAACTTTCAGCTCAAGAAGTATATATTTTGCAAACAGTTTGTGGTTAAAATATTGTGCTTTGAAGTAGCCACTATACACAAGTTCATCATTCAAAGGATGTCTAAAGAGATAGTAGTTCATTGGTGAAAAATACTCTTAAGAAGTAAAACTTGATCTAAAATGCTCTTTTGTTCAGAGTTTCATTATAATCTGCAGTTATGCATAATGTAGTACTAATATTGCCACTGTGACACTAGCATCTAAAATAATACTTAACTTGATATTTTTCAGACTACCTAATACTTCACATAGGGGCACAGTTAATCAGAAAGAAAGCCTGAATTTCCAAAGGTAGGAGTAAGAAATAAATATTATATATATTTATATATATGTGTGTGTTTGTATTTTTAAAAAAATAATCAGCAGATAGATGTTTGTCTGAACTTTGTAGCTTTCTTATCTCTAGCTCTGGTGCTAGAGGCTCTACGGAGAGACGTACCATCTAAAGGGTTAGTAAGGCCACTGCTACTCCAGTCAAACTGGACAGGTGGTAGAGATTCCTAGAGTTGAAAAGTCAGAAATCAGATTTTATAGTCAGTTCAGGTTACAACAATGCAAAGCAGTTCAAACAACAGATTCTTTAGCGTCTAAATACTAAAAAAACAACTAAATGAGCAAGCCCTAACTTTTAGGAGGCATGTATTTTCATAATATACACTAAAGATTCAAAGTAGATTTGTTCTACCATAGGAAGTCTCATTAAATTCTGAACAGTACAGATTAGGTAACCTCTAACTCTAACAAGATTTGCAAATTAACAAAAACACATGAATTTGATTAAAGAAAAACCTTAAGGCATAGTTGAAAGTTAAACTATTAATACTTTCAAGGAAGACAATGCATTTTGCATAAAAAGTTATGTATACACCAATTATACTGCAAATGTAGAATAGGGTTATTAGTGAAAGCTGCCTGTACATCCATTCTTTGTCCTGATTACATATAAAATCAGTTATATACCATTAAAGAGTCCATGATTCTCTTGATTTGTTTTGCTTAATGAGTCCATCCCTATGTGTGAGGGACAAACTATCAACACCCTCCCCATACCAACCCTTAAAAAAAAATAAATATCCTGTAACTTATTATCCTTTAACTATTAACTCATTCTGATATAAAAACAAATGGTAACAATGGTAACAATGCTTGGTAACAATGCTTGAACAAGAGGAGCATGGAAATACTAACTCCTTGTGGGAGCCCATCCCTGCCTTTTCATTTCCTCTTGTTATGTCTTTTACACACACACAGGTAAATCAAGCAAGCAGCAGGGCCCATGCTTTCCAGGGGAAGTGTGTTCAGGTGCAGTGTAACTTGCAAGTGCTGTCCTCTCATATTCTCAGGACACAAACAGATGGGACTGTATTAGAAATGGCTGAAACAAGTTTATCTTTCTACTTCCATGCATTACATTTCTGCTTTCTCCCCAGTGAGGTCAAGTATCAAGAAGTACTGGGAAAGGATGTGCCCTCAACTTCTAACAGAACAACCACACTTATGGGAGAAAAGAAGTGGAAGTTCTCTGCAGCATTATTCAAAATGCATCACTAGTTGTCAAGTTCCCAGTGGCTGAGACATACCTTCTCTTTAGTTTTATTTTTATATATATATATTTATACATATACACTTTTAAAACTGTCAACTATCCAACACTGAAAAAACCACGCAGATTCACAACTCAAGACTGTAGCAGCCTGAGCTAGCTCTGCACAGTTAAGCTAACTGCAAGAGGCTTTGCTAGGTGATAGATGTTTATGGGAAGAAAAATGAAGAGAACTGGAGATTTCTGTATTTACTTATAGTAAATGCCTTGCCTAGAAAAATCTTTCCTACCTAATGACTTGGAAGTATTTCCAGTACTGAGCACAACTGGAACAGTATTCACTCCATGGAGCTTAAGGAGCTGATGTTACAGTTTTTACTTTGCTTTGCTAATGAAGTTACAGGCATTAAAATGATTTGCATGGAAACATAATGTTAGGAGTGTGGAAGCTACACCTGATGAAGTAATGATCACTATCATCAGTAGCTTGTTTAAGGTTTGTCACTTCTAAAATATATTAACATTGAAGAGGGGCTTTTTTTTAAAAAAAAAATAAAAACAATAAAAGAGCAAAATGAACTCAACTTGCAACAAAATAGCTTCCTACCAACTTCTCACTTACTGAGGAAAACACCCACTGTATTTTGTGTCAAAAGACTGAGTCAGGACTGATGAATGTGACAGAACTGCATGGAAAAGGTAGTACTGATGGCTTGCTAAGCTTTTCCCTTTAATGCTAACTTGATTCTCAGATTTGCCAGAGCACAAAGGATGTGATGAATTCTTCCCAATATGGGGGAAAAAAACCCAACCCAAATTGACTTGAAATCAGTAAGAGTATAGTAAGTATATTAAACTGCTTTATGGGATGAGGCCCTTCTGCTGACTTCAATTGCTTCCAAAAAAGGGTGGCAAGCAAAGCAGACCCCATCTATACAGGTTGCTGACAAGCCCTGGTCTATCAAACAGCAAAGTAAAAGGAGAGGACAGAGGCAAAAGCCAAAACAGAAAGGAAAAGTTTTCTGTTGCTAGTGTCCTTGGCCCCAAGAAAACTAAACTATACAGGGACACCTGAACACAGCATTGAAATCTCAGACAGCGGGAACATAATGTTTTGTCTTTCAGAGATTGCAAGGTTGCTAGACTACTGCACTTCAACTATTACTTTAATAACATGCTTTAAGGAAAAACACCCAATCTAGAAGAATATTGAGAATTGGGACAAACTGCTCTCACTCCTCCCTCCGCCTTAGATTACAGGACATGGTACAGAAATGAAAAAGTATATTCAGCTTCCAGAGTGCTACTCTCAGTGTCAAGGAAGTAAGAAAGAGGAAACTAAAATGCCTGCTGATTTTACTGCATCGTATTTCTCTTCGATAAAAGTGAGAGATGTTTTCACACAGTAATTTTAGAACGGTATTATGCAAGAGCTTTTATAATCCAAAAGAGTAAAATGTAAATGTTTGTCTCTGTGCCAATAATTATGCAAGGAAATTAAACAAAGAAAAAAAAAAAGAAAGAAGTATTTTGCTGTCTTAAAGCTGTGGGGAGGAGGGGGGATAAAAGGGCTTGTAATACAAATATAGTATAAATATTTAGCTAATCCCACAAATGAGCATCATAAACATTTCAGAAAAAGGTTTACAGGGAAGTAATTCATACATTTCATTGTGTGCATTCACTGGCAAAGTTACAACCGTTCTGAAGAATTATTCTTCTCAGACACCACTTTCAAATGACTGTCACATCTGACACAAAAGCAAGTTCTGTATCTCTTACCTGCAAACCTTTCTCTCTGTCACCAAAGCTACATATATTCTTGGATCTCTCTCCTATGTGTAACTGGAGAGCAGTTCCATGATGGAGCCTTTGGCTGGTGGCCAATAATATGGTAGTTTGCATCTGTCACTGTTAGAAGTCCTGACGGTCCCTTATATAATTAAAAGTGTTTTTAAAGACTGTCACCCCATGGGGTTTAATTAAGGCTCAGACCCTAATAGCCAGCAAGTGTAAGATACTTATTTCTATTATAACCTGATCCCTAATTCAGTGGCTTACATGCATGCAGATGTGCTGTAATGGGCACCTGCAGAAAAGAATTACTGGTAATTTTCTTCTAGAAAGGTCTGGGTCACTGAGGATTTCTATTCCAATATAAAACTTACAAAGCAAAATTAAGTGGGTAAGAAATCCCCAATTTATCCTGTATGCTGGAGCAAAGCTACCACTAGACTCTACCAAAGAAACACAGCCCCAAATACAGAGAAGAGGATGCTTTGAAGCAATAGCGATAGAGCAGAAATGTAAGACAGCTTTTTTCCAAGAAAGCCAAAGGGAACTTTAAAACATTATCCAGAGAAAAGTATCAACTCAAAAGAAAGCAGTCAACATTAAATCCAGACAGCAACCTTTTTAACAAGTGCTGGGATATATTTCAATCACACTGCCTGAAGACTTGGCCATGGTGTAGAAGCCCCCACTCTGAAGAAGAGAAGGGTACCTGCCTCAGGTTTCACAATTAAAGTTTGCCTATGTGAGCAGACGCACCTTCTTTACACCTGATGTGTCTTGATAGAGCCTTTTACCTTTAGACCTGTGAAGTCTCTGAGACATCATGCCTGGCTAAAGGGAGTTATTTCATACTGTGTTTCGTTCTGGACACAGAGGAACAGAGAAAGAAACACCTCAATTGTCAAGATAAACAAGACAAGAAGAATTTAGATGCTACCTTCAAATGTAAAATAGGACAAGTCTACAAAAGTCATCTTTACACAACAAACTAATGTGACAGATCAGTCAGTAACTTAACTTGCTTGAGAGAAGAAATCCTAAAACCCTTGCCCTCACAGCTTAAATGGCTCAGATGGAAATTTGTCCACTGTATTACCTCAGTGAGATCCTCTGCAGAGAATGAGGCCAAGACACAGAGAGTTTATTAACAACTAAGAAAAGTTGTTGCAGATCATTTGCTGCTTTTTCCTCAGCTCTTTTGATTCTGAATGCTCTCTATTTTAAATCTCTGCATGCTTTCCTCCATTCGCCTACAACCAAAAAACTTACGAGGCTTTTTGGTGTTTCTGCAAATGTTCTTTGTACTCCTACTTCTGCATCACCACAGTCTTTCTTCCAAAGTCTTATTCCCTCAGAAGGAAGTCATACGCCACATGCACAGACACTGATCTGTACAGAAGTCCCATAAATGCCAGGCTTTAAACTACTTTTTTCCTTAAGTAAAGCCTAGGAATCTATTAACAAGAGCCTCTCCTAATAAGAAAGCCAATATAAGCCAATATTCTGAGGTTTCTGAATATAAGAATGACCTATCATCATCACTATCTGGAAATAGAGGCATCCAGAAGTTTTAACTAAATAATTACACATTAACTGTGTAATCTTAAAGATATATAAATTGTCATATCTAAATTACTTGACTTTAGAATAAGAAGTTTCAGGGTCCACCAAAATTGCCTATATTTTTATTGCATATTTACCAGTGTTTATAGCACAGTTCCTAATGAAATGTTTACCAAAGTTTGGGCACATCATTTAATACCACTACAATCTGGAATATTCCTAAAAGGCAGCCTGCACAATGTGAAGTGAAGCTGGATTTTTCCAAAAGCAAGCAGAAGCCACCAAACATTAAGAGAAGATAAGGGCAAGAAAGAAACAAGGTCTCTGAGGTGGAGAACTGATAGTTCCAGCCCTGAAACTTTCTGAATGTTATTTAACTGTGGCCTCTTCACATTCTTAATTGTTAAAGCTCTCATTGCTTCCCTAAAAGCTTATTTCAGTATTTGTCTTTCTGAAAAAAACAAAAAAAACCAAAACAAGGCCAGCAGCACAGACAGATAGTATAGAAGCTTCTGGTATGTATTCATAAACCACAACTATTGAATGAGATGGTTTTGACAGATTATACAGCCCAGAAAGCCAAGTGTATGCTGGGCTGCA